ATAGCTTCCCATACTTTTATTTCAAAGTGGACGTGTTTATGAATTTATGGTAGATAGTAAACTTCAGGCATATTCCCTCATATATTTCTGACGAGGACATTTTAGAAACACTGTCTTTGTGGAAAGTCAAAGTATTAGGCGAGATTAAAAACGGTGTTCACATTTCAAGAAATTGACCATCAAAATGGTCACTCAACTGTATTCAAATGGCGGAAAAGCATGTAGAACCTATACCAAGGTTGTGGTCTCTTTAGGGGTCACATTGTTTGTCTAATTCAGATGAAATTTGAAATATAATTAATACGGATCGAAAAGGCTTGGATGAGTTCGATTTTGGTGTGCATCAGACATTCCGCAAAATGTGAAATATATATAAAGAATAAAATTTGTAATATATTGGGAATATGTTTTAAAACCTTGAATAACAAATGGGAATATGTGTTAACAAATAGAATAACATTGGCAATATGAGTTAACAAATAGAATAACACTGACAATATGTGTTAACAAATAGAATAACATTGGTAATATGTGTTAACAGATAGAATAACATTGGCAATATGTGTTAACAAATAGAATAACATTGGGAATATGAGTTAACAAATAGAATAACATTGGGAATATAAGTTAACAAATAGAATAACATTGGGAATATAAGTTAACAAATAGCATAACATTGGCAATATGTGTTAACAAATAGAATAACATTGGCAATATGTGTTAACAAATAGAATAGAATTGGAAGTATGAATTAACAAACAGAATAACATTTGGGATATGGGTTAACAAATATAATAGAATAACATTGGAAAACTGAGTTAAAAAAAATAGAATAACATTGGCAATTTGTGTTAAAAGCTAGAATAACATTAAGAATATGTCTATAAAACTTGAATAACAATGAGAATTTATAAAATGAGCATTACACTAAGTACGTCCATGATACGAATATATTCGAAATTATAATCGGGCAGTTTATTGTGTCGACATTTCATACACAAATCAATATTTTAAACAAATATTCACTTTATGTTTCAATTTCGGCATTTATCGGTAACAGTTATATCATAAATATTTAACTAAAACAAAAATCTTGAAGTTAAAAATTTAAAATGAAAATGTCCAGAAGTTAAAATGTTGATATGAAAATGTCTAGATAAAAGTCTTGAAGTAAACATTTTGTTTACATTAGTGAGAGAGAGGCGCCCCCTTAGTTTTAATAATTTCCGTTAAATACGTCTAGAGTAAATTATTTGCCATGTTTCACTGCATTGCACCGTGTGAACGCTCTAGTGTGAAATGTATATGCATCATTTTAATTAATTAAACGAAGGGCCCTATTGAATTTAAGCAATTTCCATTAATTACGTCTCGACTTATGGCCCTTGTTTCACTTTTCTGGATCTTGTAAAGGCACTAACGACGATAGTTATCATCCGATCTGAATGGAATATACATGCTTCCTTTAAATTAGTAAAACGAAGAAGCCTATTCAATTTCAGCAATTTTTTTACTATGTTGAAACATTTGAACGCCCTAAAGACGAAAGACGCAATTGGTTGATGTGTACAATTCTTTAAAGATTAGGAGCATTAAGGTTTATCTTTAAGCAATTCAAATAATAGAATTACATGTTTTAGGCCTACATTCTCCATTGTTATAAATTAGTTATTCTCTCCATAGGTTAGTGGTACAGAAGGCTGGGGGAAAACGCACTCTCTTGCATTGACCGGGTGTCGTAAATGTTAGTTTGTTTTGACTGCCGACTTGATGTCCAATACTGCAGGCAACGGCCTTGAAAGGTGTTGGTTCCCTGATGGCGCTGCCTTCTATCTGCTACTCTTACTAAATAATTATAGCTGGTTTCGAAGAAGCGATGGCTTGGGTAAATTAATCACGTGTACGCAGTGTGTATGTTTTTTCTCCTGCATTCGTCGAAATGGCGTCGTTTGTCTGAACGTAAAAGAAAATTAGTGAGTCGGCCTTCAATATAAGAGTAGGCCGTAGCGCTGCTATTTGGGCACTGTATAGCGTTTGCCTATCTCCAATATCTCAGTCGGAGCTGAATAGTATGACCTTAACCCCATTTCATTTCATTTCTCATGCTTTACTTCCATGCGCTGGTAGCAGACTATCCACCTACATAGCTTGTGGACACCCTAGCGGACTAACGGATTATCCACCTACATAGCTGGTGGACACTCTAGCGTACTATCCCCCTACAGAGTGTGTAAACGCTCTAACGGATTATCTCCCTACATAGCTGGTGTACACCCTGACGGACCATCGCCCTACATAGCTTGTAGACACTCTGGCGGACTATCCCCCTACATAACCTGTCGGTGGGATGAATAATGTGCCAATAATTATAGCCAGGAGGATGTTAAACCTCATTTCAATTTTGTGGGTGTAGATTATAATCTGATTAAACACAGATCCTATTTCGTTCGTTTTTTATAGTTCAACATTTTGTTTTACTTGTCTTTACTACACTAGGATCTGGAAGAGTTGTTGTATAACCCATGTTCTGGTTGATGTGCAATGAAAGGATTATGCAATGAAACGGCCTGTTACGACGAGTTCTTGGCGTGCGGTGCACGGAACTGTGGGTAAGAACTAGAAATATCAACTGAACGAAATATAGATCTGTATTTTAAGCAGATTGTATAGATTTTAACAATGTAAATGAACAAAACAACAAAGATGGCTGCCAACATGTATACCTTAATATAGTGAATATTTCAATTTATTAACTATGACATATATACATCTATTTTACAGTACGTTTGACATATTGTTTGATACAATAATCCTTAAGTGGTATTTAGTAACTGGGTAGAATGATAACTATAACGCATATGGAAGAATAACTACTAATTTATTTTGGCGACAATGTGTCGAAGAGTATTCTCTCAACGTTTCAAAGCAAGTAGAGTCACAATTGTGCAGGGCAATAACACCAAATCAGAAACCTCGTAGGATATCAGCAAGATCAGAAGCAAGATACGGGGCCAAAATAAATTAGTAATAGTTCTTCCATAAGTGTGAATTATAGAATATATCATAACTAGCACAGAATAAGATAATATATTATATCTTTGATAACTAGCACAGGTTAAGATAATATATCACAACTTTGATAACCAACACACTGTAGGATAACATAGTATCTTTGATAACATATATCTTTGATAACTGGCACAGGGTGGGATAACATACCGTATCTTATAAATAGCACAGAGTATGATAACATATCGTATCTTTGATAACAAGCACATGATAATATGGTATATTTGATAACTACTACAGAGTAAGATGATATATTAGATCTTTGATAACTGACACAGGTTGATAACACAGGGTAAGATAATATCTCATAGCGTTTGGAATCAGTGTGAGTTAAATAATGTGATTATCACTGGTTTTTAAAAAAAAACCTGTTCTGTACCTAACATTACGATAAGGTAACAATTATAAACAATGATAATATTAAGATAAGGTAACATTTATTATGAATTACAATGTTAAGATAAGGTAAAAATTATAAAGAATGATAATATTTAGATAAGGTAAGATTCCAAGAATGATATTATTAAGATGAGGTAACAATTTATAAAGAATAATAATATTACGATAAGTTAACATTTATAACGAATTATAATGGTAAGACTTGGAAAAGTTTTAAAGAATGATAATATTGAGACATGGTAACAATTTATAAAGAATTATAATGGTAAGATAAGGTAACAATTTATAAAGAATGATAATATTAAGACATGGTAACATTTATAACGAATTATAATGGTAAGATAAGGTAACAATTATAAAGAATGATAATATTAAGACATGGTAACATAAATAACGAATTATAATGTTAAGATAAGGTAACAATTTCTAAAGAATGATAATATTAAGACAAGGTAACAATTATATTAAGACAAGGTAACAATTTATAAAGAATGATATTATGAAGATGAGATAAGAAACAAGTATAGTATAATATAATTCGTATTAAGACGCGTGTTAATGTGCAATAGGCAATAGACATGTAAGCAATAAACGGGTCTATTAAGATACCATTGTTCATAGAGGTTATAGCCTTGTGTAGTAAAGCATATTGTTTCTAAAGGTTATACAGCCGTCTATTATCATATTGTTTATAAAGGTTATACAGCCGTCTATTATCATATTGTTTATAAAGGTTATACAATTATCATATTGTTTCTATAGATCATATTATAACCAACATTTAGCATGTATGCCAACTCCCTGTTTGGCGTAAATGCAAACATATACACCTTAAAATATGTTAGCTATGTGAACTGTTCAGGTGATAAGTGGTATCGTAAATAAGATGGTGATTATCTGACGAGTATAGAGTATAAATAACGGGAGATGCTTAGTTGTTGTTAGTTAGTTGTATTTTACGTCCGCTTCCACCGAGGTGATATCGCAGATGCTTAGTTATGATTGTCTTTATATAGTTTTGACCAGGGTTAGTCTATGATATGTTCTAAGATGTTTTCATAACAACGCAATAATTATTAATGATGCACCAAATACAAACTAAATAGCACCACAAATAGGTGGTTATTACAACCGTTTTGTTTTCTATATATAGCGAATCAACAATCATACTTTCTTTTATATGTGTTTAAAAGATATACAATTTCTTTGATGATTCACTCAAGTTGATCTTAAAGATCTAAATCTGCCTTTCGCGTGGCGTCAAATGTTATATAAATTATTAATTAGACATGTATTAACTTGTCAAGACATAATCAACTCTCTATGATATCGGATGCTCTTGATTTTCAACGGATTTAAACACGATTGGCGGTTAATAATTTAATGTAAAAATCAATAATCGATAACAACGGTAGCAATGAAAATCGAAACATCCGCTATTTTTCAAACATTCATAACCCTGTTCAGAATGAAGTTATTTGACAGAAATGTATCTTTAAACTATTATAACGAGAACGGTCACAGGCGCAGCCCCCCCCCCCCCCTGCTCAGCTACATAAACATTCATAACCCTGCTCAGAAGGAAGTAATTTGACTGAAATGTCTAACATATTCCTTTTCCATTATGTATCTTTAAACTATTATAACGAGAACGGTCAGCTTTTTATCTAAATCTTACATAATGTATTTTTAATAAATGGATGAGTTAACCGATATTGAACCCGTTTTATTAAATACTGGTTAGGTTCAGTTAATACGTAAGTAGAAGAAAGTAAAACGGGTTTTAACGTCAAATCTTCACAAACTAAGTCATTTCAGGACTAACAGAAGGTTGATTTTTATTTCAATGATTTGTGTGCGTGTAAGGGTCGTTAGCAGTGAGAGGAAACCGGGGGGGGGGGGGCACCGAGAAACACCAAGGTGGCTTGAACTTACGTCATTGATTGGCCTGCGTCATGAGCAATCCAGTTTATATATAGATCAGTTGATTGATCTAAAGTAGCCTGCAGGGGTCCTGGGATGGTCGACCTCTAGCTGGCCGGTCACCTCTTGCGGTTGTGGCTTTGATCCCTGGTGTGAGCGTATGTGGCTTGGAAATAGAGGCGCCTTCTCAACCTTGTGGGGGTACTGTACTCCGGTTTCCTCCCACATGAAAGACCTATGCGCGTGCGCTAAGATAATGAAAAATAAAACTTGTCTGCGATATCACCTTCGGTGGAAGCGGGCGTTAAACACTAAAGTACGCGCGTTATGCCACGAGGTACACCACGCGTTACACTATTCGGCAAGAGAGGGTAGATACATATTTCAATACGTGCTGACGTAACATTAAACAGCGTTTCATCTAATTAATACGAGTATTAAAGTTAACAATACGCCAGGCATTCCACTGACACGGAACATATCAGCTTAAAAATATCGGCTTGATTTTCCGTTTAAATAAATAGTGTTTAATATAATATTAGAACAAGTATATTTCTAAACAAATGAATACCTTGGTAGAATGATGAGCACATCTCAAAGGCACATTGATATCATTGTTCTTGAAATTATACTTTATTAATTCTACCAATGGCAACAAATATTAACGGACGTGTCTGCAATGACAGTATGATCACCTGCTGAACTGGTACCATCTTTTAACGGGTATTGTCTTCACAAATTCTACAGTGTCATAATAACCAAGGGACATTGCCGTATTAATGCAAAATGACTTTTCAGCTTTCTCTAATTTAGCTCCACGAGACAGCAATAGTTTAATCTTATCAATACGGTGTGTTTCTGAGATACAGCAGCTGTAGAATACTGATTTGTTATTGTACCTACCAGCCTTATACTTCACATTACAATTACTATCTAGTAAATACTTTACCACTTCTAACGTACTAAATGCACATGCCTGGTGCAGTGGTGTGAAGTTCTTGTCATCAATAACGGCTAACTTGGCTCCATTACTCACCAAAACTTGCATCTTTTCAACCGCTTTTGGTACATCTTTATCACAACAATAGAATAGTGGTGTTCTATTATACTTACCACCTACACCATTCACATTACAGTTATTATCAATCAAATACTGAACAGCCTCTACTGTACTTACCGCGCAAGCTCTATGTAACAGGGGTGTCTTATTTATAGCTGTAACATCTAAATTAGCTCCATTACTCACCAAGATTTGCATCTTTTCAACCGCTTGAGGTACATCTTTATAACAGCAATAGAATACTGGTGTTATTTTATACTTACCACCTACACAGTTCACGTTACAGTTATTATCAATCAAATACTGAACAGCCTCTACTGTACTTACCAAGCAAGCTCTATGTAACAGGGGTGTCTTATTTATATCTGTAACATCTAAATTAGCTCCATTACTCACCAAAACTTGCATCTTTTCAACCGCTTTTGGTACATCTTTATCACAGCAATAAAATACTGGTGTCATTTTATACTTACCACCTACACAGTTCACATTACAGTTATTATCAATCAAATACTGAACAGCCTCTACTGTACTGACTCCACAAGCTTTATGTAACAGGGATGTCTTATCTATATCTGTAACATCTAAATTAGCTCCATTACTCACCAAGACTTGCATCTTTTCAACCGCTTGAGGTACATCTTTATAACAGCAATAGAATACTGGTGTTATTTCATACTTACCACCTACACAGTTCACGTTACAGTTATTATCAATCAAATACTGAACAGTCGTTAAAGTGCTATATTGACAGGCATAATGCAATAATGTTTTTTTGTTTGTATCTAGATCATCTAAACCTCCACCTTGTAATAAACGGTTTCTAATCTCTAGTATCCCGGTTTGATCAAATTCGTTCATTGTATCATATATAGTTTTATCAAATATAAGTTTAAGTAAATCATTTGGGGCTGATTGACATATATTAACAAGCATTTTACAGGATGTATAACCTCTAAAAACAAGAAGCTTTACTTTATGTACAATTTCAAATTCAGAAAAACAAGCTCTTTCTAAAGGCGTTTTACCATCGTTATCTACTATTTTTATACTATCTTTATACTGGTCTAATACTGATATGAATTTATGTATATCGTCAACATACGCTGAATGATGGAGCGGAAATTCGTTGCTGGAATCTTCTATCTGGTTCTTTTTTTCCCTCGCGGTTGCTTCAACATCATCTACAAGAAATGGTTATAAATATTAACAAAATCGAGTATTAAAATCAAAAACACATACTGATGGAAAACAGCTACTAGTGTATTCAGGGGCGGATCTAGGAATTTTGAAAAGGGGGGGTCGCCGCAAAATAAGGGCACTGACCGCAGAGACGGGGCACGCTGCTGAGAGGGGTTTTTTTTTTGGGTGGGGGGGTCCCCAAGAAAATTATCCGTCATTTCCTTGCATCTGTAGCCATTTCAAGAGCTATTTGGCTGATATTTTCGTCTAAGTAAACGTTCGGAAATTGTTGAAAAAGAGCCTTAAAATCGAGCAAAAAAGGCAGTTGAACATGCGACTCGAAAATCGTCAAGGCGAGCGAGGCATTATGATGGGAAAAAAGACGAATCTATTCCCTAGCCAATTTAAGCCTTGTAACTTGTACTGTCCACACATGAAACAATGCTACATCAAGTTGCACTCATGCGCGTCGGTGATGGGCACGAGTGTATACGCCGCCGATTCCACAAAGGATTAGGGCACCGTCAGCTAAACAACAAGAATTCGTTTGAAAGTGGAAGCATTAATTAGACCAGACTGGTGTGTTTGAATTAATGGTTTGAGTCTTTTGGGATCCCTGCAATGGGTTGGGAATGGACATATTTGGGTCTGACAAAAGGGCACTGTCGAAAATTAGGGGGGGGGGGCCTCTGGTATTTTAAAGTGATGTTTTGTAGAGCTGCAACGATTCAGTTCGGTGCACCGATAACCGACACTAGCCGTCTCGGTTCGATCCACGATCTACAACGTTCAAATTTCGATTCGGTTTAATTGCAAATTAAATTTCAAATAAAAACAACGTACACCTTACCATATGAAAAAAAATGAAAGACCTGTAGCAATTAAGTCCACTTAAAATTTAAAAAAAACTTTGTTTTTACATAACTTTTAATTTACGTTAGTTAACAAAACACGAATGTCACTCGAAAACTATAGGAGGCAGACCACCATTAAATTTCATCATCTCGGTACCCACGAATTGTAGTTTGTCTATTTATAGCAATTCTCTCTCTCTCTCTTTTCTCCCCTTTTGCATGCCCATTTGTGTTGATTTTTTGGTCTAGAATGGACGAAGAGGGTTTGAATTAACATTTTCTGCCAGGTTTTGGTAAATATTCATGATTTTGAGGCGGAAGGATAAGAGGGTTATCAGGTTAGCTACGGCGATATGTACGGCAACTAGTTACATGTTTTTAGTATGCTTCTTCAAGTTTGTGTATCTCAAAATTTTGGTGGTCAACCTCATACAAATTTTAGTGCAAAGACATGACCATTTGTTCCTCTGTCTGTAGTGAAAAGCATTCAGCCCAACGAAAATTTGGGGAAAAGTTGGAGGTGGGCAAAGAGGCCAGAATTAACATTGAAGTCAATGGGGAAATTAATGGTGGTCTGCCTCCATAACTAAAACAGAGTGACCTCCCTTTAAAACAATTTCCGTATGCTGACGAAAGTTAATTTATTTAAAATTGGTGACGTACCGAATGTTCATTGGATGTTAATTTAGGTCTATAGCTTCGGTAATGGTTATCTAAATTCTAAACGATCTCATTAGCTGATAATTCCGGTCATTATCTTCGGATATTTTCGTGTTTAGCGATTATTACCCGTCGTCAAGTAAAGACTGGAAGGTAAAATTACGGCAGACGACGTACTTTCTCGACCACCTGGTCATTTGAAATCTAAAGTTTGGGATCATTTTGATGTAAGAAAAAACTCTGAAGATGTGGCAACACAACAAACCTGTCAAACCAATAAAAGTGTTCAAGAGAATTTTAGTCTTGTGTTTTTATTGTTTTTAATGAAAATATATACAGGAAAAATTACTGGTTATTGTAGCTGATAATCGAATCGAAAATAATCGAATCAATGGTTAAAATCGATAATCGAACCGAACTGAATCGAGGTAGTTGTGAATCGTTGCAGCCCTAATGTTTTGATGAGTATTCCCTCCACGTTATCAATATAATACAGCAATACATATATGAGGCAAGAGGGTATTGGTAGATGAATCTGTTATGAGATGAGTTACAGAGCATGTCCTTTATTGGTACCTGCCAAGCTTGTTTTCGTTGGCGGGCCTGAGTTTCGTAATGCTAGGTTCCCACTGTCGTGCGATGCGTTATGATAGGATTGTCTCTATTGAGTCGACGTTCTGGTACGTGCAGATACGCTCAACACGATTGCTACGACTGACCTCAATATATGATAAGACCTGATAGGATCACCACGATTACTTCACGATTAAAAACACGATTCGTGGTATTGGGAACCTAGCATAAACAATTCTTACTTTACATATGTGTATGGCAGTATGAATTCAGAACTTCGGGATTTTAAATAAGCATGATGAACAGAACGACATGGAAGAGTGGAAGGTGATTGTTTTACGAAATACGAATCTCACATCGTTATAGACATTACATTTGAATATCAATGTTTCTAAAATGGTATCCCGGAGAAAGTTCATCCAAATTTTCCGGCGTGGTTCCCCCTTGTCAGTGATACAGGACGGAAGGCCTGACAGGAACAGCTGTCCTAGAACGGCCGTCCATCCTGCACCACTGCCAAGGGGAACCACACCGGAAAAATCTTCATGAACTTTCTCGGCCTCCAGAGTAGCGTCTTACCCACAAATGTCCCAGACCCCCAAACATTTATGGTTGAGTACAAGAATTGAATTAGATATGCCTGGCTTTGGTACGACTTGGTCGACTGATGTTTGAAACTTATGTTTTAATACAAAAAAATACACAATATTTATTTTTCATTTAACTTGTGTTACTCGCCAAGAATATACACAGGAATGCACAAAATCGAATATATTTTTCACAATTTTGGACCTTTTTTTTCTTAATTCAGCCATTTATTTTTTCCAGGTCCCTTACTAGAACCGGTACATTGCAAGCTACTTGAGCTTTTATCCCCGTTTCCTATCCTGTGTCAAATGGTATTAATGTTTGCTCAAAATGTAATACTACAGGATAACAAGGTTCTTTTTTTGGAAACAGATGGTTGGAGGAAAGAAACAATGTTAGACATGCAACCCTACTCCTTGTTATGTAACAAGCAGGGAAACCACATAACACCACTTGATTCAATGACAGACTTTATGATCTAACGTCCCCGTCGACACACAGGAAGATTATCTTTATACTCCCAATATGTAGCATTAGACTTACAGGAAGTACACTCAGGGATGTGGCTATTAAATGGCCAATGTAATTACATTGTCATTTACTATTACTATTTAAATGTCATCACTACAATTTATTTATCTGGGTGCCCCGACTCAATTCGAAATAAGCTCAAGCCGTTGAGGCGCTGTCTGAACAATATTTTCCTCGTTAGCCCAGTTGCAGCAGAACACTAGAACGTTAAACCCATTTCGATCATAAGACGCATTTTTGGCAAAACGAACCCACTAATGCGATAAATATAGGAAAAGCTGGCACATGCTCAAAGTTGGTAAACCATAGAAACGCATTCTTACCTTTGTGATCTCGTGTAGGTTGTCCATCTGCAGAACGTTTGTCAGCTGTAAGAAGCTGGTCATCTGTAGAAAGCTGTTTGTTTGTAGAAAGCTGTTCATCCGTAAGATCAATTCCATTTGAATGAGACTGTTCATTTATAGAATGATCTTTAACCATAAGAGATTGGCCATCTGTAGACAACTGTTCATCCGTAGAAAGTTGTTCAACCGAAGGAGTTTGGTCTACTGTAAAATAGTTACTTAGGTGAGCTTAAGTTAGTCTTTAGGATTGATCTGTTACTACACACGTTTGTCATTTCCAATATAAACTCTGATGAGTTAAATACCAAAGTCCAGGGGTGGGGGTGTAAACGAATCCGCCAAACTCTTTTGGGGATGGGGGCCCGGGGCACGAACTGGTGTAAATGTTATCCAAATCGTTCTATTTTATACGTCCGCATTTGTTTGTAAACACTTTACAGGTCCCAATTACTATTCGATTTTCACGAAACTTAAAAATATATGTTTATATTCTAAGGATTCCTGACGATATTGGCATATGCCGGACCGATTTTACGAAAAATAACGTTTTTTAGGTTGTAGACCCTAAAGAATTAATAATTTGTATCCGAGTTTGATGAAATTTAAAATATATAGTCTCTGATTGCACGTGTTTGGCTTGTGGATCATCTAGAGGAAATTGAGGAGATTGTAATGAACAAGCGCAGCCAACGTTCTTAAATATAGAATTAAATATGCAATACGAGCAATACCATTTGAAATTTAAAAAAAAAAAACATCAAAAAACACGTAGACTTCAAAGATATTCACATCGTGGTTCCCATTTGTCAGTGATACAGGAGGAGGGCCTGACAAGAACAGCTGTGCTAGACAGGCCCTCCGTCCTGCACCACTGCCAAGGGAAACCACGCCGGAAAAATCTTGATGAACTTTCTCGGCCATCACCGGGAGCGAACCCGCGACCTCCAGACTAGCGTCTTACACACAAATGTCCCAGACCCCCCAAACATTTATGGTTGAGTACAAGAATTGAATTAGATATGCCTGGCTTTGGTACGACTTGGTCGACTGATGTTTGAAACTTATGTTTTAATACAAAAAAAATACACAATATTTATTTTTCATTTAACTTTGTTTACTCGCCAAGAATATACACAGGAATGCACAAAATCGAATATATTTTTCACAATTTTGGACCTTTTTTTTCTTAATTCAGCCATTTATTTTTCCAGGTCCCTTACTAGACCCGGTACATTGCAAGCTCTTTGAGCTTTTATCCCCGTTTCCTATCCTGTGTCAAATGGTATTAATGTTTGCTCAAAATGTAATACTACAGGATAACAAGGTTCCTTTTTTGGAACAGATGGTTGGAGGAAAGAAACAATGTTAGACATGCGACCCTACTCCTTGTTACGTAACAAGCAGGGAACCCACATAACACCACTTGATTCAATGACAGACTTTATGATCTAACGTCCCCGTCGACACACAGGAAGATTATCTTTATACTCCCAATATGTAGCATTACTTACAGGAAGTACACTCAGGGATGTGGCTATTAAATGGCCAATGTAATTACATTGTCATTTACAATTACTATTTAAATGTCATCACTACAATTTATCTATCTGGGTGCCCCGAATCAATTCGAAATAAGCTCAAGCCGTTGCGGCGCTGTCTGAATAATATTTCCTTTGTTAGCCCAGTTGCAGCAGAACACTATAACGTTAAACCCATTTCATTTCAATGTCGATCATAAGACGCATTTTTGGCAAAACGAACCCACTAATGCGATAAATACAGGAAAAGCTGGCACATGCTCAAAGTTGGTAAACCATAGAAACGCATTCTTACCTTTGTGATCTCGTGTAGGTTGTCCATCTGCAGAACGTTTGTCAGCTGTAAGAAGCTGGTCATCTGTAAAAAGCTGTTCGTCTGTAGAAAGCTGTTCATCCTGTTCATCCGTAAGATGAATTCCATTTGAATGAGACTGTTCATTTATAGAATGATCTTTAACCATAAGAGGTTGGTCATCTGTAGACAACTGTTCATCCGTAGAAAGTTGTTCATCCGAAGGAGTTTGGTCTACTGTAAAATAGTTACTTAGGTGAGCTTAAGTTAGTCTTTAGGATTGATCTGTGACTACAGATGTTTGTCATTTCCAATATAAACTCTGATGAGTTAAATACCAAAGTCCAGGGGTGGGGGTGTAAAGGGATCCGCCAGACTCTTTTGGGGATGGGGGCCCGGGGCACGAACTGGTGTAAATGTTATCCAAATCGTTCTATTTTATACGTCCATGTCGTTCACATTTGTTTGTAGAAACTTTAGAGGTCCCAATTACTATTCGATTTTCACGAAACTTAAAAATAGGCTATATGTTTATATTCCAAGGATTCCTGACGATATTGGCATATGCCGGACCGTAACTTCGTGAATTATGACCCCTGATTTCACGAAAAGTAACGTTTTTTAGGTTGTTGACCCAAAAGAGGCCATAATTTGTATCCGAGATGCTGAAACTTAAAATATATATAGCATCTGATTGCACGTGTTTGGCTTGTCGATCATCTAGAGGAGATTGAAGAGATTGTATGAACAAGCGCAGCGAACGTTCTTAAATATGTTTGGATGTCCAAAAGAAAGTATACACACTAACAGTATCACTAAGGTTTGATTAGATTAAAAACATTTGATAAAGCATTACTGGGTTTGTCTCTTGCGTCCAAACTCAACATTTCTAAGCAAAATAAAAATGTGAAACAAATTGACATTCTACGACTTTGGTTGATGCAGCACAAAATTCACAGTGTATACTTTCTTTTGGACATCAGTATATATATATTATGCGAGCAATGACATTCGATATTTAAAAGAACACAGAGATATTCACATTATTAAAATGTCCCAAAATTATGCCATTCGACAATTAATAACGTATTTTAGACATGCGCAGAAACAATCGTGTTAAGACTTCATTCATTCGGTTTTAATTTTAAGGATATTTTATAATACAAGCCAGCCCTAAAGCAGCGGAGGTGCACCTGTAAAAGAGGTACATGTATACAATCAATTTATTTTCATTAAACCTTGTTTAACTACGCGATGCTTACATGTCGAGGGTGTTACAGATCTTCACAACCAGGGTCGGAATCCTTACAAGATTAAAGACTGGATCTTACCTGCTCCTTTTTTAATTAACACACCAATCGTCTTTTCGTCAAATTTAGCATGGGCTTCTACCAGTGGTGTTCTACCGCTAGCATCTTTAGCATTAACAGATGATCCAGCGCCCACCAACAGTTCTATTATACCAGGTGTATCAATATCCAAACGGCCTGCATTTGAGTTGGCAGCTACATGAATGGGTAATTTGCTGTCTTTGTCAGCCACGGTGACAGAAGCTTTTAGTTTTATGAGACAATCTATTGTCAAGAATTTTCCTCGTTTAACTGCTAGATTTAGAGGAGTGCAGCCATTTTTATCCTTTGCCTCGATATCCGCGCCTTTTGCAATGAGATATTGGACGATTTCTGGGACGTCATAATCCGAATCACAGGCATGGTGTAGAAAAGTTTGCTGGTTAAGATCCACAGAGCTAATGTCAATATCTGTAAAAGAACTAACATGTTTCAGAGTATCCAAATTGTTTGCCTTGGCTGCTGTACGAATAAGTTGTTGAATTTCAGTTTTACTCTGGCATTCTATAACATTTTTCTCATCACGTAAATATTTTATTTTATCTTTTGCCCCCTTCCCGGACTTAACGGCAAGGCTTAATAAATCCAACCCGAGATTTGTTTTTATGTCACATAAAATTGCAGTAGTTTCGCTGGAGTATGAGAAAACTATTTGCAGCTCTTTTAAATATCCAAATAAGCATACATAATGCAGAAAATGTCCCTCGTCCATTGGATCGCCACCAAGCTGTATCTTTAGCTCGGGATTTAGCAGCATGTCACCACTATCTACATTAAGTACCTTTTGCAAGAAATTACTGTCAAGAAATGCTTGGTGGAATAACACAGCTTCATTCTTCTCCTGCAATTCACGAGAGAATCTTTCATATAGATCAACATAACAAGGGGACTTTATGAGAACCTTGTGATCATCCGGTACGGTAGACACGTGATCTATTAAGAGATCAAAGGGACAATATTTTATTGTCAGTTCTATAAATCGCTGAGAGACATGAAGCAGAAAGGGTCTGATCACCTTTTCTGATAGAGACATGCGCTTCTCATTTTCCTCATCACATATTACGTAAGAACCAGTTAAATTTTTGCATGAATCGAGAATATCTTCTACTCCACCGGAATTCCCCATTGCTTGTTGTATCTGATTTTGTAGTAAGTGATTCGTCTTTTGTCGTATTCCATCCTCGGAGAGAGGCCGTGGACTAAATACAACAAATAAAGCCAAATACTTAATTCTATCTTCCTTCCAGAATATGTCGTATTCCCTGTTCAAAAAATAAAATAGACCATTTAGCATCCAAATTTCTTCTCCTGTGTAAGTTTTACTACTTTTACTACAAAGACTGACAATACCTGGAAAACCAAAGCATCCTGAACTGTGTTCCACCATCTTCCCCAGCATATTGTCGGAACAGTTTCCCAAATGGTATCGCAAAATATCCCTTTTTTCATCATTTGACAACTGGAATTGTGTCTCATGAAGCTGTAACCGATATAATGTAGAGAATATTTCATACTTCCCAAGAAGATGCTGACAAGCCTGGTAGACATCATGTCTCATAACATAGATTATTGCCGATTTACGTTTTTGTTTTGCTAAATATAATAACTCAAAATTTTTTGGCCATTCTTGCATTTGTTCTTTTATTGTACGTGTCCATATACCAAACATTACATCAATAATCAATAAGTAGCTATCCTCATCTGTAAAAGTTACGGAATCCAGGTCCCTCGGGTGTCCTATTTCCAATGGAATAAAATTTTTATGAACCGTCAAGAACGAATTGGCGACCATCCGACACATTACTGTTTTACCATCTCCTACAGCGCCAATTATACCCAAGATAAAATGTTTTTCCAAAATACGCCTCCCTTCTCTGAAAGCCCTTGTCTCTACAAACTGCTTACTTGCGGCATCATGAAGTAAATTTTCGGCATCTTTAAAGAAACGAAATGGAAAATTTTTAATAATATTCTTCTACCTGAATATTGAAGTATAATGATATAATAATGAAAATAAAGCAAAACAAAAGTGTCACTCTATCTGACCGACGAATACATACTCATCCAGACCAAACATTGTAAAAGCAAATTAGGATTTCCTTGTGGAATTTAGCCCTAACGAAAGTTTGAAGCTACAATCCCTTGGCTATAAAAAGTTAATGCTCTCATGCCATTTTACAGGGAAGGGTGAAATTCTATATAAACCGCCCGTACATGCTAGGGTATCAATTTTGGTGTCTATAATAGTTTAAAGACGTCAAAAAATAAGATAAGAGAATAAGTGGTACACCAAATGCTATTTCTGAAATGCTATGAAAGGATATGTCGTGCTGTGGCTATTTGACGACCATCTTCGATTTTACGATGCCTCCATGCTTTGTCCATCTATCGGTTGGTTTTAATGCGTTGCTTGACCGCTAAAGGCTAAAGCCAAAATTTCACCCCGCCCCCCTTTCCAATGTACAGAGTGGCCACCCAAGTACAGACAATTCAATTTAGTTAGATGATTTCTCGGTAAAAGCTATTTGATAAATAATAGTAACAGTACTAATTTGCTTTAGTATGAACATGCATTCGTTACATTGTTGTATGGGCGCAGGTAGTGTCTTGATTATACCTCATATATAAACAAGCCAACAGTGAGGCGGATGTCCCCCACCGAAATCCCAAAATAAATAGATGACACGTATTAATTAATCGCACATTCATTTTTTTTCAAAAGTATCGAACAATCACTAAGTTTCATCACTCTCTATCAGATAGAATCAAGATTATCTTGTCCCAAAGCATCGACCAATGACATTGATTAGCTCTGCTTAGCTTCAGCTCAAAATGTTAATCATCGAACTCAGTCGAGACATTCACCTAATGAACATCTTCATCAAGTTTAAACATTCTGCCTCATTTAAAAGTAGAGTTGTTATGTTCCAAAGTCTTGGCCAATCAAAATGCTTAAGCGGAAAATTCTCGCCATCAAACTTAGTCAAGGTAATGATATAATGAATCTATATTCGGAGTTCCATCGCTCTCACTTCATTAGAACCAAAGTTATCGTGCCCCAAAGCATCAACCAGATCGCTTATCTCTGCTTACCGTAAGCAGGCAATGTTCAACTAATGAACGCCTACACCAAGTTTGAACATTCTACCTCAATTAGAAGGAAAATTATTGTGTTCTAAAGTCTGGACCAATCAAATTGCTTATCGCTCTGCTTACTCTCAGCAGAAAATGTTCATTATCGAACAGGTATTGACACTGTAACCTGGGTAACATTTAATCTTGTGTATTTAGCACTAATTTCTTTCACATTCGTTTAATATCAAATCTTTGTTTAAAAATTCGTAAAAATCGTTTAAAATCACCAAAAATCATCAGCTCTAATCTGTACTTGTGTCCAGTTTAAAGCTGACTGGTTAATTTTGATAATGATTGTTCAATTTACAAGTGTTCAATTTCCTGACCACTGTACAAAAATTAATCATTATACATCATTAATCAATTGGGTTGTTTATTTATTAACAGTGATTTAGAAATTAAACACTTGTAAATTGGACACTCATTATCAAAATTGAATGGTCAGCTTTAAAATGGACAGAAGTACAAATTAAACGATTTATGGTGATTTTAATCAGTTTTTACGAATTTTTTTCAAACAAATTTGATATTAAACATCTGTGAAAGAAAGAAGTGCTAGATACAGAAGATTAAATGATACCTGGGTTACATTGTGATGTCATGAAACTATACACCAAGTTTTATCACTCTCAATTAATAAGAACTAAAGTTATCGTGTCCCAAAGCACCAAGCAATCAAATTGCTTATCTCATCTTCGGACTCCATCAAAGAATTGGTCTAATAAACACATACACCAAGTTTAAACATTCTATCTCAATTAAAAAGAGAGTTAGTGCCCCAAATAGTGTGACGGATAGACAGACAGACATACCAACCCATTTTAATAGTCCCCTGCTTTCTTCGAAAGGCGGAGGCAACAATTCCTACAGGTAGTATTGATCTGACAACTAGTCAATTCTTCATCTATCACAAAATCCCACATTATTTATTAAACAGTGTAAATTCCGGAACGAACCTGTTTGGTATTTAGTTTTTTCTGGTTTAGGTTTTGGTAGTGTTATAGTTGATAGACTAGATTTTTTCAACTCATTATTTTCACGTTGAAGTCGTCTAATTGTCTTCGTGAAATCACATGTTTGTTTTTCAAATGTTTCAGTGTATGCCTTTTCAGCTTCCTTGTACATTTGATGTGTATAAGAGCGTCCTTTGTTTCCAGTAACGGTTGATTGTATAGTGTTTATAATGGCTTCGATCTCTTCGTTACCATCGACCGTGACATCAGTAACATAATTTACAACTAAACATCTGTATTTACAACGATCTAAAATATCTTTTAACGACGTCGGTAATTCAGGAAGCAAGTTTTCTTTGGATTTGATCCCCTGGCTCTGGTTATTCATTATGACAATAAGATGGTCATTTATGTCTTCGCCAAACACGTCGCATAGAGACCGCAGGGCATTTTCGTCCTCTTCTGTAAACCTCACATCAATTTTGACAACCATTAAAAATATGTGAATACCAGTAAATTTGAAGATGGAAAGAAATTTTTTAACCGTTTCTGTATTGTTATCTCTTGTATCAAAAAGACCTGGAGTATCCACGATGATCAAATTCGTATCTTCATCTAAAGCGCGTTCTCCATTTGAACAGACTGATGTACACGAATGAAGCGAATTACTGCACTTAAAACAATCTCTATGTAGAAGTAAATTTCCCAAGTGGCTTTTACCAACTCCAGTCTTGCCAATGAGTGCCACTCTGATATGTGCAGGAGATTGTTCACCTGTAAAATAATAAAGGGTTATTGTTTATCTTATTCTCACCTGGAACAGTAAAATTGGGAATAAACGGGACATGAACAGACGGGTTGAAGTAACTCAAGATTATACAATGTCGGTAGGAAGAAGACTAGTACCCCCTCCAACAGTCCTCATCATCCGTTATGTACCTAGTTTGCCTAACAAAGACAAAGATAGCAATGATGGCTTGTATTACAGATTATATTTAGAAAATTAATTGAAACTATTCCTAGATGATGATTAGATTTGGAATGAAATAATGAATGATTTAGATTTACATACTGGATTCACAATTGAAAAGAAAAAGACAGCCTGCATATCGCATTAATGGACGTTCTAGTGAATCGATTCATCATCATCCTCTATTAGTGTTTACCGTCCACTTCCACCAAGTCGTCTTATTTTTATTATCTTAGCGCTTTCCTGTGGGGGAACCGGAGTATCCGGAGTCAACTGAAGAAGGCGTCCACATCAACCACCGATGCTCAATTTAGGGATCGAAACCACGAATGCAAGCCAGAAGTGACCGGCCAGTTAGAGCTCGAAACACGACTCTCTAGATCACTAGGCCACACCAACCCCCAAAACGAATGGGTTTACTCCTTATAACGGGTATGTATTCTAAAATAAACATATAATAAAAATGGAATGATCTGAAACAGGGATTATTGTCCAACTGTTCTGCTTCGACTGGACTGATGGACATAACCGATTAAGTGTGCTATGAGGTAAATTTTGCCAGGACAAGGGATCTTCTACGACCCGTTTTTCGTCCAATCCGAACAACTAGACAGCTGTCCTCGTCAGGCCTTCCGTCCTACACGACTGACAAGGGGAAACCACGCCGGAAATCCCGATGAACTTTCTCGGCCAACACCGGGAGCAAACCCGCGACATCCATTCTAGCAAGGCAGCGTCTTACTCACTAAGCCACCATGGCTTCAATTTGCGACTTCTAAATAATAATGATCGAAAGTAATCACCCTTTCAATAAAAAAATATTTTTTTCTTAGATTTTCTCACATTTCCATTAATCCAAATTCGGAAATTGTGATTATATTGCCTTGATGCTGGCTATTTGAAACTACATATTCGAAATTTGGAAGCATGAGGATGGTACTGACAAAGTTTCTACATGCGAAGGCATTTAGTTCATTTTGACAGTCTGATTGTTTTATAAAAAGCTATTTTTACACGTTTCTTCGCCATTAAAGCAAAATAGTGCGAAACAGAAAAGAGAAGACAAACCAGCGGCTGCCAGGCAGGATACGCCCACATTTTGCAAGAGATGGATAGAGAACAAGCTAAACAGAAAGATATTTCGAACAATCAAAGGCCATAATTCAGGAACCAAGATCTTTGGGTTATACAGATATATTTCAAGTTTCAGCAAAATCGACACAAAATTGTGACCTCCAGAGAGTCCACTGCCTTGATATACCAGATGTTTACACTATTTGCGTACGAGAGGCGGCCATTTTGTCTGGCAGTTTTTGTCCGATTTTCACGAAATTCGAACTCAACCTTATATAACTTACGATATACTTGAACGTGTTTTTAAATCGGATAATAATTGTGACCTCTGGGGCCACATAATTCAGGAAGTTATGATCCGATATGCACGAATATCGAAAGCAACCAAGATCCTTGGGTTATAAACAGGCATTTCAAGTTTCATCAAAATCGAATTAAAATTGTGACCTCTACAGGGCCCACAACCTTGATATACCATATTTTTACAATATTAGCGTACAAGCGGCGGCCAATTTGTTGCGCAGTATTGGTCCGATTTTCACGAAATTCGAACTCAACCAACCTTACGATGTAACGGTGATATATTCAAACGGTTTTTTAATAATTGTGACCTCTAGAGGGACCACAAGCTGAAAAATGCGATTTTTCTTTCAATCAGGGCCCATAATTCAGGAAGCTTCAATCCGATATGCGCAAATATCGAAATGTACCAAGATCTTTAAGTTATAAACATGCATTTCAAGTTTCATCAAAATCGGTCCAAAATTGTGACCTCTAGAGGGTCCACAAGCTCAAAACGTGATTTTTCGTACAACCAGGGGCCATAATCCATGAAGTTTCGATTCGATACATGCCAATATCGAAAGCATCCGAGATCTTTTGGAGATAAACCTAATTTTAAGTTTCGTCAACATCAGATAAGAATTGTGACCCGTAGAATGTCCACAAACAATTGTAGACGGACGGACAGGGGCGACGACAATGTACGTCCACGTGAAAATGTGGGCGCATAAAAACCCGAGCACAACGATTTTTGATCTTTAATAGACACATCTTTTTAGATATAGGGTGTTTGGGTGGCCGAATGGTTAACGCGTGCGCATTTGATGACAAGGTCTGTCTTTCAGTCAAGCGGCGTGGTTTCGAATCCCCGCTTGTACATGGCAAGGAATAGGGTCGCCTGTCCAGCCCCGTCGGTTTTCTCCGGGTCCGTCGGTTTCCTCCCACCGCTAAAGACCCCTACGCGCTAGCGAATTACTGAAATAAAATTCAACTACATATTAGTCTCGAAATGACCTAGTTTTGTCGAATGGACGTTTAACTCCATTTCACTCCCTCTCTCATTTTATATATATATATATAGATTTCCGAACAAAGGGGAATAACTCTCAGGAATGTAGCTTTCACGGATTTAAGGCGAATTCATTCTTCACAAATATTTTAAACAGTACGCATTTAAACGGAAATTAAAAAAAATTGAATGGTAAAAGACACCACTTCAACTATAGGAGATGTGTGTAGAAAGGAAGAAATATTAAATCATTCTTGAGATCCGATCCGGAAATGAGACCCACTTCAAGGTCAGACTAAGTCTAATTGTATGCAGATAAAAATAGACATTATATACAAGGCATCACTTCAACACGGGATTGATGAGTTTAAATAATTTTGTATAAAAATAGTTAACTTTGTTCGTTTTCTATTCTGGAAACGAAGAGGACAGACGAGCGGACGAATGAGATTGATGGCCATTTCACACCAACATTATAGGCAGGGGGAATAACAATAAATCAATTAAATCCAGATTAAGTTACGTTCGATTTGTGATCCGATCACTCCTTTATGTTAATCCGATGATTGTTTGGATGGGTACTGCAAATGATATCTTACCTAATTTATCTGCTATCGGCCCAAAACCCCTTTCTCTTAAAGCCTTTAGGAATATCTGATAACAGTCACCACATTCTGTCATTAAGATGTCCAGTAGTTTTTCTACTCTAGGTCTACCGGTCTCTGTATTAAGTATACGGGTTTTTCTGTCGAGATCAAGAACACCTTTAGAGAATAAGGTGGTTATCAGGTCACCGGGATTGAACACCCTCTCGAGAAAGTAGTCGTAATGGTGCTGAATTCTCTCCGAGTCCTTGAAGGGCATTGTGAAATTGCCGGAAGAAGACGCCATTGTTCTAGTTTTATTTCCTGAAAGATAAAGGTCTTGGATTAAAGAACGCCTGTTTAAACGCCTGTTTAAACCCCTAACCTTTCAAAATTCCCATCGAGAATGAAATGCAACTGTGAGGTTCATCAACAACAAAAAAATAAGGATTTGGATGCGATTTATATTATATTTTCAATGAACAAGACGTGACCCCCCACCCTTCCCTAACACACCACATACACATTTGTCAGTGGCGCATGACAGGGGGCAAGGGACAGCGTATAGTGGTTCGGATGGTAGGCCTACGAACAAACGAGGTCGCGTGTACACAGTGGCATGCATGTAAGAAAATACTTTGCAGTTGCAAATTTTCCCCTTATACAGAACAGTGGGACATTAAGTATGGAAGACCAAACAGCCCTTTATTCAGTGTTGTTAATTCTTAGTTGTTAATTCATAGCCCTTAATTCTTATTTCTTCATTTGTTGTCGTATTTCGACATTTGTACACTAAAATTAACATTTGTATCTTAAAATCAATATTTGTTTTACAAATCAGACATTTGTCATATCAGATTTGTAAAATGTACTTTTGTTTAATTTAATTTTATTTTAATATAAAGATACAATTTATTTTAGTAAATCAAAAAACTAATCTACATTTACATTTCATCAAAGACATACATCGAAAAATAAATCTCGAACAATAAATTTCTAAATACATATCTCCAAATACAAATCTTGGAAAACATTTCTCCAAAAACATTTCTTCAATAACATTTCTCCAAAAAACATTTCTCGAAATTCATCGAACCGGAACATATAACGACATGAGCGGAAATCAACATGGCATACAGTAAGTCACCATACAACAAAGGAGAAACGAGCAAACATATTTACAATGAGCAAAATCGCTCGATGACTGCGACTTTACTTTCCGGTGAATCATTATACCATAACTGGAATTTCGTATTATGACGCGTATTTTGACTTTTAAATACCCCCTCCCTTATATCTGCTTTAACAAGAAACGTAAATATGAATGTCAGAAAATATTTTACAATTTTGAAAATGAGTTTGGACCTTTTTAATGGTATGAAATATCATGTATTTTGTAATATGGCCCGTATTTGGACGTTAAATACCCCCTCTCCCCTCCTCATTTAATGACATAGCATCTGTCAAAGGAATATAATTTTAACACGCTTTGAATATCTGGATGTAATTGAATTGGCGTGAAAAGTTCTATATACAATGTACAATAAAATGAAGGGACATAAGAGGGATGTCTTGTTATGGCTTATTTGTAGTGTAGAATGGAATGCATTGTCTTGTTTAAAATCACAATGTTGCACAATAAATTATACCCCCCCCCCCCATACTGAGTATTGTAATTTCAAAATATAATGTTATCTTAGTGTATGAATCTCTTTGTGTAACCAAGGAGATGTGTCGCCATAGTGTGATCTTCTTACGTCCTTGATTTTAGAGCTCATTATGCAACCCTATTCCACCGTAAATACATTAATATAATTATTTCTATTAAGACCAAATTATAGTCTCTAATTACACACTTTTAACCATCCATTACAATAAATCATATAGTTTATTCAGCTTCATGTAAGACTTAAAAATGAAAAGATACAGTTGGTTTAACTGGAATGTAGATCTATGCTGCATATATATCACCTTTCAGGTGAATCACATTATATAATCTTATGCACTGATGCTGCATATCGTCTTACGTATTTGTAATTAAAGTGAGAGTCGTATATCTCTTCGCATGTTGCTATATATGAAATGAAATAAAATTGGGTTTAACGTCATATGTTTTTGTGGGGGTCACGGTGGCTAAGTGGGTAAGACGCTGGCTCGCTAGCTTGGGGGCCGAGTGTCGTTCCTTGCATTGGCCGAGAAATTTCATCCAGATTTTCCGGCGTGGTTCCCCTATGTCAGTGATGCAGGACGGAGGCCTGGCAAGGACAGCTGTCTAGTTGTCCGGATGGTACGAAAACCCGAGATCCCGTGTACACATTGGCGTGCAGTTGGAATTCCGTATAAGAGTAGGCCGTTGTGCTGCTGTCTAGGCAAAATTTCCCTCATAGCACACTGTATTGTGTATGCCCGTCTCCATTAGCCCAGTTCGGAGTAGAAAAGTAGGACGTTAAACCCCATTTCATTTCATTTTCATACTTTTTTGCTCAATTCGGGCTAATGAAGACGGGCATATGTCCTGCAGTGTATAGGAGGGTCGTTTTGGCCTGACAGCAATGCTACGTAACGTTTAGTCCAGTTCTAAAGGGCTTAATTATCTCGTCGATCCGTTAATTTTTACATCTTCGGCTTTTGGGTGTTCCTAAATCTCGCAAATTTTATAGATTTTGAAGTGTGTGTTCAGCTTTGTTCAGGCGTGGCCGATCAACCACAAAGAACCGAGAAATGGAACTTTCAATGTGCAAGTCTGTATCATTTACTTCTGTTCAGTTTCTTCTCCTAAATCACTCATTAGATTTCAACCAAATATTATACGTATGTTGCTTTGGAAAATGTTTATTCGGGTTCGTGCAAATGAAGGTGATTGGAAAAGTATGGATAGAGGGATCTTAAAGATGCTTTATGTAAGATTTAGATAAAGAGCTTATATATATATCAATAGATGTTTGAAGTTAAAACCGTACTAGTGTTAATATAGAAAAAAAATAAAGGTTAAAAATGCCTAAAGAATGTATATTCTATTGTTTAATTGTCTACGTGTTTCGCCTGAGCTTGTCAAGACATACAATAAAAATGACGTGACGTCATGGAAGAATAAACATACAATAATATAATAATAATGAAGTAGATAATATAGCATAATATTGTAATTATTTTGAAATGTTTAATTTGGGTTTAAATTTGCCAATAAAATATTGTTCCTTCAATCTCATTTTCATGGGATCTGAATACGGCATCTTAAAGAAAGAGTATATTTTGAACCAGCCCTTACCGCAGATATCAAGGTGCTCACTTAAAGGGATCTTCCTTAAATTTGGTTCCCTGATATGTTGTCTATGAACCGTTACTCTGTATTGTAACTTGTTCGTGCAGCCGATGTACAGTTCGGCACAGCCACTACATTTTATGACATATAATACATGAGTTACTTTACAGTTCATACTTTCATTGACAAAAAATTCTTTTCCACTGTCAAATATAAATGATTTACCTTCAATTAAATCTCTACACGTGCCACAATTATCTCTTCCACAGTGATTTGGACTAAGACTAGTACGAATGTAGTGGGAGTTATATATAGACAATTTTTCCCTTAATTTTTTTCTCCCCTCTTCCTGCATTTTTGGGTTGACTTTTTGGTCTAGAATTGGAGAAAAGGGATCAAATTTGCAATTTCATAGCAGTTTTGGGTAATACTGATGATATTACAGCGGAGGGATAGGGGGTGTAAAGTGTCTTTCTGCAGAGCAATCATTGTGTCGGAAGTGAGATTTTCACCCCTGTCAACTTCAAATCCGTGTAGCAAAAAATCTAAACGGTCAACCCCCTACAAAATTATGATGAGGAGATTGCCAAATGTTGTCCCCATTGTGCCTATAAAGATTGGAACCAACGGAATGTTGAGCAAAAAGCTACAGCCTGTGATGTTACAGTCATTTAACATTGAAGTCAATGGGCAAATAATTGCTAGTTTGAGTCCATTTAAGGTTTTTAGGTTGTCTTTTTGACGGGATAAACGTTTGTGTATCAATTTTTTATCTTGTTGAAGTAGTGGAAAACGTGTTTTAATTAAGCTGGAGAAATTAGGATTGTGGGGATTAAAGGTGGTGACAAATGCAATTATATTGTGATTTGTATCTTTTATATTTACCTGCCTTAATTCCGTTATCGGTATTTTACTAGTCCTTTGAATTCCGTCATTAATTAATTTGGAGGGATATTTGCGGGCTAGCAAAAATTCTCTCAATTCCCGTAGTCTTTGAAATTTAGTTACTGTGTTAGACACGATGGCACAGATACGCCTGGCCAAATTATATGGTACAGCCGTTTTTATGTGTTTAGGGTGACACGAATTGAATTCGAGATACTGTTTATTATCAGTATCTTTATAATATATATCAGATTCAATAATGTCCCTGTTTTTGATTACCATTATGTCTAAAAATGGTATTCTATCTGTACCAATTTCCATTGTAAATTGGATATTCGGATGAATATTATTGATTATGTTATAAAATAAAAGGAGATTATCAAATGATTGGAGCCAGATGAAGAAACAATCATCTAAGTATCGTTGCCACTGTTTTTCGAAATATATTCTGGTCTCCAAGTCAAATGTTTCTTCTACTTTCGTAGCAATGGTTAATTCTAAATATCCAAGGACTAAAATTGCCAGCGAGGGTGAGAATTTATTACACATTGCACGCCAATAAGTTGTTTCTAATAGTTAGAATCAAAATAAAAGCAGTTGTTTTCTAATATAAAGTCGATGCTTTCTAATATAAATGACTCCGAAAAACGTTCTTCTCTATCGTTTGGATAACCAGTGCTTTACAGCTGTTAATCCTAAAACATGTGGTATATTAGAATAAAGGTTTGCAACATCGAAAGTAACTAGGATAGCGTTTTGTGGGACATTTTGGGGTAAGTTATTCAAAAAATCTACGCTATCTCGAGTATGACTTTTGACATGTTTAATATAAGGTTGAAGTATGATGTCTATCAAATTGCTTAAACGATGAGTTTCACATGCTGGACCTGCTATATATAATATATATTGAAAATTTCATTCAAATTACTCTATTCTTAGGAAAGTTATCACCGTTTGAAGATATGACAAGATGTGGCATAGAGTGTGTATTATTGTATAAACAACGGTACTTTTTATTCGAGACTTGACCTCGTTTCGCCATTTGAATTAAATCATTAAATCGCGACCATGTTTAAATCCGTTTCAGTCTCCGCCATTCGATTGTCCCGAGATGACGGGTCATGTGAATAAATGTCTAAATAATAGCTTATATAACTTTTGTAACCTAAATAAAGAT